CGCCACCGACAGCAGCGCGGACGCCGGGCTGGTGAGCGTCTCGCTGGGGGTGGCGGGGCTGCTTTGGCTGGTGGCTGTCTGCGAGGACGTGGGGCTGAGCGAGGGCGGCGAGTTCGAGAGCAGCGCGGGGATGGGCGCGGGCAGCGCGGGCAGCGCGGGCACCGCGGCGGGCGCGGGCTTGATGGGCACGGGGATGGCGGGCAGCGTCTGGCCCGCCGCGTGGCACAGCGGCTTCAGCGGCACCCCGTAGGCGCTGTAGTCGCCGCCCGCCATGGAGATCGGGGTGGCGGAGTCGATCATGCCAGCCGAGCCGTACACGTGCGGCCAGCCCGTGCCCAGCGAGCTGCCCATGCTAGTCAACTGGTTGGGGAGCGGGTAGGCCGCGGGCACCGGCTGCATGGCGGAGAAGGCCAGCCCCCCGGGCATCTTGTACTCCCGCGCGATGATGTTCTCGATGGCGAACGGGTGCTTGAAGCCCGAGGGCTGCGCCACGCCGCCCAGGTTGTAGGCGGCCGCGGGCATCTGCGGCAGGTGCGTGCCCGAGGCGGCCAGCGCGCTGAGCCGCAGCTTGGCCTGCTGCTGCAGGTACTGCGCCGCGTCGGCCGGCTTGCTGGGCGCCAGGTGGTCGGACTTGAGCACCTTGAAGCGCTTGCGGCGCCGCAGGAAGCTGCCGTTCTCGAACATGTCCCCGCAGCTGGGGTGCAGCGCCCAGAAGCTGCCCTTGCCCGGCTGGTCCGGCCGCCGCGGGATCTTGATGAAGCAGTCGTTGAAGGAGAGGTTGTGCCGCAGGCTGTTCTGCCAGCGCTGCGTGTTCTCCCGGTAGTAGGGGAAGCGGTCCATGATGAACTTGTAGATCTCGCTCAGCGGCAGCATCTTCTCGGGCGAGCTCTGGATGGCCATGGCGGTCAGCGAGATGTACGAGTAGGGCGGCTTCTGGTCGCTGTACGTGTTGCGGCCCGGCCGAGGCATCTTCGCGTTCGCCCTCTTCGCGCTCGGGGTCCGCGCGG